GCAGCTTTCCATTCTTCGGCACTTCGCGCGTGAATGTCAAGCCCCGCCCCTTATTACCAAACACACTGAGCACTTCATCAACTCTGCTATCAAAGTTGTCTGAATTAATCAACAGCAAATAGTCGTCCACATATCTGTACACTTTTTGGACCAAACCATCAAGGCCAGTTACAAGATCGTTGTCAACTCTGGCTAAAAAAATGTTGCTCAGTACTGGAGCCACTTTGGATCCAATACAGATCCCTGATCTCTGCACAAAGTTCTTACCCTTCCAGCCGACGTACGTGTGTTTTATGTAAAAGAACAATAATTCTAAAAAACTTTGAACAGAGATGCCGCACTTGGTCACAAACTTCATTTCATCATTGTTGCCAATGCACTCTTTCACACTAGTCATCAGTTCATCATGAGGCAGTGAATAATATAAGTCTTCTATGTCGATGCTAAATCCCGAAGTGTTTTCATGGACATTTCCTTTAAGGAAATCCACTACCGTAGACGAGTTCGGAATGATGAACGGGTCCTCCACTTTCAGTGAGCTCAACTGCGACTGAAGATAGGTAGACACCGCAAGACACCAAGTGCCTCTCTCCGACACGATCGCACGGAAAGGAAAGTCTGGTTTGTGTGTTTTTATTGAAAAGAATGTCTCCATAGTTGAGCCTTTCATCTTTTTCACTTCACTGCACACTTTTTCCAAGTTTAACCGAAGTAGGAGCTCGCGCACTTTTTTTACTACCTCCTGCGGTTTCTCCGACACTTCGCGAAAGTTCTTACACACCGCCGCACCTGCTTTTTCACTGAACATACCTTCAGGCATAACTACAAAGGATCCTTCTTTGTCCGACAGAAGAACACGCAGGCCATTAGTGGTAAAAAAATCAATAGCGGGATCGAGACTAACACCCCGTTTTTTCCTACCTTCTGACCGCGGTAGAAGTTCCACGCACTCTGTGATACACCTAGATTTGTCTTCTTCCTTGACCTTGTTGGACACCGACCTTGCCAAGGCGACCTTATCGATGGCCCGTAGGTGTGGCTCCAAACAAAACTTTGGGCCCAGCTGAAGCACTCTCTTGTGTTCCTCAGGAATGTGGACGTCATCCATGACGACTACCGGCCGTTCAGGGAGGCGCTTTTTCTTTCTTGTCGGCAGTGTGGGACGAACGCTGTAACTGGCCTTGTAACTGGATCTTGTAACTGGCCTTGTAACTGTAACTGGCCTTGTAACTTGGATCTTGTAACTGGCCTTGATGATTTGGTCCAAAAAGTGTACAGATATGTGGACGACTATTTGCTGTTGATTAATTCAGACAACTTTGATAGCAGAGTTGATGAAGTGCTCAGTGTGTTTGGTAATAAGGGGCGGGGCTTGACATTCACGCGCGAAGTGCCGAAGAATGGAAAGCTGCGTTTTCTGGATTTGCAGCTGTCATTCCAACAAAAACACGTGTGCTGGATGTTTTCCCCTAGGACCGCGAAGCCGCTTCTTGATTACAGCTCTGGGCACTCTCGTCTAGTAAAAAATGGCATTGCCATGACGTGCCTAAAAACGGCGTTGGACAGATCATGCCCACATCTTATGGAGACAAGTTTTTTCGCGCAGGTGGAAAGACTAAGAGACGCGGCGTTTCCTGATAGTGTCTTAGCTGCTGCTTGCGAAAAAATAAAAAAGTCCATTAAGCAACGGCCTGGGACAGGCCTAGACAAGAATGTCCCGCAGGGAAGAAAAAGAGTGTCAAAAGTCCCGTATATCCACTGGCTTTCGCACGGCCTTAAGAGAGTGGCTTCGAGGTATGGGGTGGATCTCGTGTTCTCCGCAGAAAACAAGGTGGGCCGCATCTGCTCAGCGGTTGGTAAGAAGACAGGTAGGCCAAAGCAGCGTGAAAAAAGAGGATGTGCCATTAAGCACGCAAGGCAATTCGTTCCTTGCGCACGTGGTGTTGTATATAGAATACCACTGTCGTGCGGCAAGGCATACATAGGGCAAACTGGTAGATGCCTCAACGTGCGGTTGCGAGAGCACAGCAGCTCTTTAATAGGAAGGCCGTTCACGCATCTGGCGATGCATTGCAGAGGATGCGATCAGGGTAACTGTAAGCCGGTATTTGAGCAGACAACTGTAATCTACAGGCACAGGGGCTCAGCGGAGAGGGAGATTATAGAAGCCCTCTTTATCCAGAGGGAGGGGCCTGATTGCATCAGCCACCCCTCTATAAGTCTGCAGGAAGGGGAGATAGCCTATCTGCAACGTTACTTATAGGCATGCTGAGCATGTATTTTTAGTTTTTGGTCGATTCGTTGGGTTAAATTTGATGTCACTGCGGTATAAATGGCGTTTCCTGAATAAAATATTCCAGTTGCTAGTAGCGCGTCGTCCCGTGTACTCTTCTCTGTTGTGTGTCGTTTTTTTTCGCGCCCCTTATCATCATGAACCAGCACCAACTCGCCCAACTTTTTACTTTACACGTAGTCCGCATGAAACCCTATCATGACAGATCGTCAAAAAACGAGTGAGAGTGCGCATGTATCTTTTCACTGTCTTAAGCATCGGGACGATGCGTCTGAGGAGGGGGATAATGCTACGACAGGTTGGCCACGTTCAAATAGCCCGTCGCAATCATCGTGGCAAGAGCACAAGCAAGACCCAGCTGGCATGCACCACGCGTTTGTGCGCTTAGGCAACGAGGAAGAGGAAGATAGTTGTATCTGTGCCACTCGGCTGCTCGGACTTGAACACCCCAGTCTTTAGAATTGTGGGCACAAGTTCGCCCTAATAAAGTTGCTTCTTTTTAGCCTGTCTGCCTCAGCATCGCTACGATATCCTCTGGCGGTGTCCTGCGTTATGGGTTGAAAAGTATGATGCTGCACTGTGCAGTACGGATTTAGGGGCGCAGCTTTGGGCAGTCCAACGGGCCCGCGATGTGGTGGACAGGTTAGGCCTATCTGTGCCGATGTGGGAGTGGCCCGCTACATGCTGGTTCACGCCCGAACGAACCTAAATTAAGTTTTTCTATACCATAACATGCAAGACAGAAAGCAGTCGGTACATAGGTGCTTTTGGCAACTTTAATAAAATATTTGTCATCATAGTTGTTAACTTGACTCTCACAATGTACAAAAAAAAAAATGAAAATGGTGATACGATAGCCAGAATAGTGGCCACTTTTGGGTGTGGACCTGCAATTAGCCCCCTGTCTAGAAAACCAGCCTAGTGGGTGTAAAACCATGAAGGTGACATCCCCTAATCTCCCAAAAATGTTTGTTACTACTATAGCTACTGTTGAGTCTAAAAATGCCACATTTGTACCTAACACACAATTCGTTAACGTGGTGAAATGGGTCTTCAACTTTTCAAGCCGTCAGTTCTAAGGTTGAACCGCCTAGTTAAGATTTCTGGAACTATGTGTTACAAGTTGTTGCTTTCTTATGATTATCACAGAGAATTAGTCATTTGTAATGCCAGTAATGAGGACCGCTTTTAAAAAACAATGAAGCAAGAATGTCTGAGTTTGAAAATCTAAGAGACGATTCAATTAAATAAGGCTGGCATGTCTCTTGTGAGAAATTTCGGTATAAATAAATACAGCAATGTTTCGGTGACTGCAACGGCTGATATGCAGAAGCAGTGCGAAGTTACTGAAGCCTTTCAGGTCTACAAACTTGGCCCTGATAATTGTGTGAGCACACCATCTGTGTTCCTGCATGACGGAGAGCTCTGGTATCTTGACAGTGATCCTTGCATGGTCTAATAGAGGGTGTGATTGCTGTGTGCGTGCGCGCTCATATCAGTTTCTTTTTTTGTCAAAAAAAGTAAATTGATAGTCGGCTATGCTTCCTGTCCCTTTTTTGTGCTGCTGGTATAAGTTGTATTCACGTGATGTCACCTTGATAGGCGAGGCAGTGAAAAGTGCACCAGCTGTGCTGGCAGCTGCAAGGTCACCATGCCAGCGGCATACCGGCAGTTTCTGGCTATTACAACCATTGCACACAAGTTACTGTGGGCACGTTGCTCTTGTTTTATTTTATTAGGATTTAGAAGGTACGAGATTTACCATTTGTGAAGTTGCTGCAGCCATAGGCGATGCATGCTCGGCTCGCTTGAGCGTGTAGGCCAAGAAATCGGACGCCGATGCCAAACCGAAGCCTAGGCTGCTTGAGCTCAGGGTTGCTCAGAGGTCAGTACGACCTATTCCCGCCCAGACTAAGTACCAACAAGTCTCCTAAATGAACAGGTTATACCCCTGTCACATGGTAACCACCCAACTTCATTTACCTCCATTCACCATTCATCTCCCTCATGGTGCTATACTAGAATGGAGTTGTGGCTATGCTACACGGCTTCGTGCAAGCTTTCGACAGAAGCCACAAAGGGCAAGAATGGCGCTCACCGCTTGTCGGAACGTTCCATCTTTCACATATGTAGTTGCTTTTAAAGCATTCATTCTAATGAAGCTAAGTGGGAAAGTGCAATTGTCCCACGCGCAACACTTACCGGTGGCGGCTTGATGAAGCGTTGGGTGTAGAAGGTACAAATCATCATATCCTCAAATTATCTACTGAAGCTACAAGGTGTGAAATGCTACACCAAATGCTAAAATCTACAATTGAGATTAGTAAGATGATGTTGTTAGTGCAGTTTTCTTCGTAGCATTGGCTGTGTGTGAACGAGAGTATTCCAGGGAGCTCCATTGGCCATGACGGAACTCCCTTTTCCAAAAGCTCCATTTAATTTCAATGGGGAAATTGAGATGGTGAGACTCGAACCGCATCTCCTTCAACGGAAATACGAAGTACTTAAACAGAGCTCAGTCTTGACCGCGAGACAGGGGTATTAGTTGGCCAGGCTGGGTTTTCTCATGCAGAAACAACCAGCCTTTTTATATATATTAAAAAAGTACAGCCCCCCCCCCCCCCACCCTCCACCAAAAAGAAAAGCTTGGCTGATAATGAGGCCTATGCACATAGGTTTAATGCTGCTGCGATGTGTTTGTGCCCAGGCATGGAGACACAAGGTGTGGTGAACTATACATATGGTGCCAAGGATATCTGCCTGACCTTCTTCTACTTCCTCATTGCCATCGTGATGCATGCCATCATCCAGGAATACCTTCTTGACGTGAGTTGCATTTACATAGCACGCTTTCAAAAGCGGTGGGCATAGATTTGGGTTGCTTGACACACCGGCAGACAAACTTTAGCAGGGAAAGCTATACATCGTAGTAGTTCTGAATGTAGCTTTTTCTAGCATGTCTGTTTATAGGAGTCATGATAGCAAACTTAGCACTGGGCGTTCGGCCAGACCCAGGAGGCTGAGCGAATTCGGACACATTTAATGTAGTGCAAGATGTGTTTGTTAAATTTCAGTCATGTTAAGGATGGGAAATAGTAGTGCCGACTGATCATTGAAATAACAGGCTTGGCCCCACTGCGATGGCCTTGTTCACAAAGAATGAAAGGTTTGCAGGGGAGTGGTTCATACGGGCTTGATAGTTTGACGTCAGCATTGATTGTATATCGAGGGCAGATTACCTGAGTTGCGATTGAGCAAGTTGTGTGAATGTAAAAAGATTCTCGATCAAGCCTGGCTGTTTTGTCTTTTCCTTTTCTTATGAGTACCCTCGATGCGCCCTATATTATCTGCCTGATATTATCAATGAAAATTGCGCTAAAGTGGCATGCTCACTCCAGCATGTCAAAACATATGCAGCTTGTTCTCAGAGCCACCAAAGCGAAAACCACGTCCCGAGATCCACAGAATGAACAGTAATTGCACGTGCGTCCCAAGTAATTCACGATGGTATGCCTGGTGTTGACGCAACCTCTGTTGTGCAAGTTGACTCAGCAGCAAAACGCACTCTCAGCGGTGGCTGTTGACATCTGGCCCAATCCGTAGCATGTAAGTGTGGCAGTGATTCACAGGCGGACATAGTCTTTTTTAGGAATGCTGCTGATAGCTCCTATGAAGAGTGGCGTTGCTCATAATACTGCAATTTTCATTAATAACTTCACATGTGCCTTTGGAATGTGTCGCGCCTGTCTAATTTTTCACGCTTCAGGTCTGCAGGAAAACAAGTAAACAGTGGGAACGTGTTGACAGTTTTCCTCAAATATGCTTAATTCATGTATCGTCAGACAGAAAAAGAGCTTTTTCATAATTCTATTTTCGGCCGCAGTCACTGGCGCACTTTTTCGAGGCACGGCCATTAAATAAATATGAAGCGGGCGTGCTCGAAGCATCATGAGGCTGCTTATAAAGTTTCTGCGCTAATAACCTCTGCTTCACATTCAGATAACTGACAGCGCAAAAACCACTTTGGCAGCAGGAGTAATCATAGTCCCCTTAAACAACATTCAATGGCGTTACCCGATATCAAGTCCAAGAGATACAGTTTGTTAGTTCCACTTAAGCTTTTCACAGTGAATATTATCAGAAAATATTTCATTGTAAGGCTTGAGGTCAGTTAGAAGAAGCACTAGAGGAACACCTCTTGCATGCAGAAGAACGTACAGCACAAATGGCACGTTCGGTCAGGCCTCTAATGCGCCATGATGATAGTGCGGCTGCCTTGTGATCAAGGCTCGGTGCATACCCCCTACATGGCCGCACCATGAAGGGAAGCACTTTTTGCAGTCTGTTCGCATTGAGAGTACAAGACGTATAAGGGTATCAAGCCATCTATAAAGCACCAGGGATAGGGACCGCGCCCTTAAAGTTCACTAGCGCTGCTCTAGAGCCACAACGCCCTTCTCTGCCCCTCCCCTTCCTCTTCCTTGCATTCCTTCACGCTTTTTTAACAAGGGTGGTATATTTCTTTCTGCTTGAGTAAGAATAAATGGCGGGCCTGGCACACCAGGTGATGTTATCGCATGGGCCCTCCATGCAACGAAGATACGTCGGCTCTTTTTATCTTTGTTTCAGCCACGTTTGTTGCCCTCGCTCGCATGCTTTGACCAGTGTGTAAAGCATATGATGCGCGGGGGGATGTTATTGATTTCCACATCACACAAAACGTGACGGCGACAGCAAAAACCAGTTGGGAATGTTTAAATTGTTGCTATCACAATGAAAACAAAATAGCTTTTGCTGTTGAGGCGTCTTAAGCATATGTGTGAAACACCCTGTGAGGTTTTTTTGTATTTTGCCCTGTTTTCTAAAAACACTAGGAGGTTTGTGGTGTACAGACAAGACGCCTTAGCTATATAAAACTTTGGTGCAAAAGGAAAGCAAGGTTTGTTAAACCATGTGGTTGCAGCACAGAGCAGCCCCAGAAAGATTGAAGAGTGTCGGGCAAGTTGGCTTTATGAGGCTAGCTAAGTGATGTCTTGTTCCTCCCAGCAATGTAAATGATAGTGAAGAAAAGCTTCTTTTTTCCTTGGAGTCGTCTTACGGGAATGCATTTGGGACAATGTCATTATTTGGCGTTGTACGCCTCAGCATTTCTTTATCATGTCTGCTGCTAACCACATAGAAAGTGCCTTTGCAAAAAGAAAGTGCCTTTGTGGAAATTGAATGATAACGTTTCAGGCCACCTACAATACACGCATTATCACGACTAAAATTTGTGCCCTGAATGGCAGCAATTCTTCATTTCATGGCCTCCCACCTGTTATCCTAAGATATTGAAATCGAATCATATTTTTTACCAAGTACGGGAAATGCAATGATCTTGTTTGAGTTTCAATAATAATAATAAAAATTTATATAAACATTTACTAGGATTGGAGAAATATGAACTTCCTCCGTTAGAATTAATACATATTTTGTATGCACTTTCTAATTAGCTTTCGGCATTCTCTACTTTACTTGAAACACTATGAGCTATCATTGGTAAAAAGTTATTGAACTATTGATGGAAAGAGGGGGGGGGGGGGGATTTAGGTATACACTTTGTCATATTGCACAACTAAAAGTACGCAACTTCCAAGAAAACCAATTATGTATTCGAATTCAGCATAAAAAGTTCTATAAACAGCTCTAGTTTCATTGCTCTGGTGTGAATATTAAAAAATTTATTGGCCCTGTATCTGCATGGTCCACTGCAAATGTCTTTGGAAGACGATAGTCTTGCGCCTGGAGAGAGTGAACAAAACGTTTCTTTGATGTTCTGCACTATAAAATCGGTTAATTGTATGTCATTCGTGACCTGAAAGTGCCGGGCAGGCGGCAATAGTGCGAGGAAAGGAACGCATGATAGATGACAACTATTGTAGTGGCACAAAAAGACTCCATTTTCACTTGATCTTTTCTTTGTGTGTGTAGTGTGAATTTCATTCTTGATTTGTGTATGCCCATTGCTGCCTTATAACTACATATTCTGTTTCCATCAGTATGTGAAGAAGCACACCGTAAGTATTTCAGCCTTGATTATGCAAGGGCGCAACAGTTGCACCGTTTGTGCCAAGCTGCGCTGATTTCAGCGAAAAATGGCGGCCACTTTGGCTATCTGCATGCAGTTTGTGTCGTCAATCAATCTAAGTGCGCAGACCCTAATGCTAAACAACGGTGTAGAATATATTTTCATTAGGTCAGGACACTCGTGGCACGCAATCAACCAAATAAAGTAACAAAGCCACGCCCCATCGGTTCACTGACCGCTGCGAATACCTATCGGCGGGACGACGTAACTTGAGTACAAAAAAAGCATTCCTCTAGTCGCCAATGCTTCGCAAGATAAATTAACTTCCTAGTCGCAAACGTGGCTATGGCATGTGAGCAACTAAAGCTGGAAGCGTAGGCTGTGTTTCCCACGTGCAAACAGACTCGAAATGCTGCGAAAATCGGCGTTGCTGGCGACCACGTTGGTTGCCATAGCAACGGTATATAAAACATTTTTTTGTCTTGAAGTTGCGTCGTCCTGGCGATAAATATCCGGTGCCGTCGCCAGGCCAACAAGCGAGCCAAGAAGTTGTGTCCTAAACCTAATCGCATCGCGGAAAAAAAGGGGGAGAAAAAAGGAGGGGGAGGGGTATCACTGTGTTCATGACTTGTTCCAACTCATGCAAAACGCTGCCTAATCCCCCGTTGCTGCAGAACACTGGTGCCCTGCGAAAAAGCATGTTGCAATTTTGAAGGGGCTGTTAGTTCTAATAAAGGGACACAGTATATTTTGTTCAGTTACTCATGCATGTATACAGCGCATAATTGTGAGTACTATTAGGATCGATGACGTCTAAAAATATTACTGGCAATGATTTCGAGCAGTGTGTAACATTTCTGGCGTCGTTGATAAAACTGTGGGCCAGTTATTTGTTGTTTTTTACCCCTACGTATCCCCAGAATTTCAAGGTCGCCGGCTTGGCAGATCCACATTTGAATTCAGAGTCAGATGCACCAAATGGTAATGCGAATGTTATCATTATTTGCTCAGTGAGTTGGTTCAAAATGCTAGTTTTATTGAAATAGAAGTGCTCTCACTCACAGCGCACAAGGCATATTGCATCTTTTGTACCTATATTTTTTTCTAACTGTAACACTGCTTTTTCATACTGCTCCAAATTCGGTCTTTCATGATAAAAAATGAGTTTTGTGCTCCAAAAGTAACATTTTGCTGTTGCACTCCTGATTATATCTTTGACAGCTGGGACATCTTTCACTTCCATGGGCACGGGCGCATGTGCCACTTGGTGCACTTGCTAGCTTGAACCCCCATTATACTAGAAAAATAAGATATGTTAGTTATACCCACTTAAAGTCACCAGGTGAGAACATGGGCAAAGTTAACTCATCAATAAGCTTCTCAAACCCCTTTCATTCAAGTGCTGAGCACTCCATCGGGCTGGGCTGTTGTTGTGTGATCGAATTTTGCCGACGTTGCTTGACACAATGCAGGCAAAACCACACGTAGCATGGCCGGCTGTCGCATATCGAGCACGCACCCAAGAGAAGTCTTTTTTCTCTTGTTCTTTGAACACCTTGATGATGATATTAAGTGTAGGCATCACTGTGGCCAGGGAAACATGACAACACAAACCAGGTAAAATTTTATCGGAAAGCAAGCAAGAAAAAAGGAACAAATAAGCAGAAAAGTATAAATACAAACACAATAAAAAAATTACGCCATCTCCCGCTAAAGGGAACCGCGTGTAGATGCGAAGCAGCGGGCACTAACGCTTACACTGGCGGCTAAGTTGACGTTGGCACTCATCGCGGCATTGTGCAGGAGAGAACCTGTGGAGGCGCAAAGCACGCAGTTATGGATCGGTGTTTCCTACTAGAAAACCATGATCGCTGCTAATCGCCTATGGGTACAGAAGACGCCAATTGGACTCGGAGACCCGCAGTATGCTTTTAGTGTACGCACACTTTGTAAAATTTTGTTGTTCAGCAACGCACAAGGGACATCACCCACCAGCACTACCTAGGGAACGGTTGTGTAGCGCTAGCAGATGCTGTGTGCATTACGAGGCGAGAGGAGCGGACAGCACGAGAGGGGACACGCATGCGCCATAGGGTTGTAAACGGGAGGAATGCCTAGAGGTGAGAGACGGGGAGCAGACGTGCAGTTGGGGTGGCCCACTGGATCTGAAACTAGAAAGAACCAAGAGAAAGCTCTGCTCTTTCTTCGCACAGCTGCTTTAAATTTTTAAAATAAAAATTCAATTGAAATTTCGGATAACTGTAGGCTTGGCCACCCTAAGGGTGGTGATTTGAGCTTGTGCGTATGGTAGCATGATAATATATGGTAGCGCAGAGAAAGATCATGGACAAGAAAAGACACATTCAAGACAAGACAGCGCTGTGTTGTCTTGAATGTCTGTGTTGTCTTGAATGTCCCTTCTCTTGTCCTTTCTCTGTGCTACCATATAATATTGGCTCCCTGCTGTAGCTATTGTCCTTACTGCCGTATTTCTTTTCTGTGCTAAAATGTAGTACCAAACAGCTCGTTTTGCAGGAATTGGCATTATTTGTAGCGGGAAATAAGCCCAAGTGGGGCAAGCAGGTGTTCCACAACACAGTGCTTGAAACTGTTTTCGGGAAAGAAACTGTATGCGAATTTTGTATAGTGCAAGTAATATTGAATGGGACAGGGCATGAAAACTTAAGTTCTAGTTAAACGATAACTAAAATTTTGTCAGGCCTAATTACCATCAGCTGCACCAGAGTGCATTGTAGCAGATGCAGGCGTTGCCTTACAAACACGTAATGGATGTTTGACCCATTTGCTACAGGAAGAATTAGCAACTCAATAATTTGATCAAAAGTCATCTGGTCAGCAATGCTTATGGTCAACGGTAAATTACCAGGAGTGACATTTTGCCATGCTTACGAATACACTCAGACACCAGTATAAAGAACATAGATATAACGAAATGTTGCTTATAATAAAGTAAAAAGAGAAGAGAGTTGCATTAGATACAGTGCTAAAAATAACCTTTATAACAAGTACTTTGATATAGCAAACTTATTTCCTTGCTATATGTGACTATGTTATAATGAGGTTTGAGTGTACTATCTAATGAAACGTTGCATGTTCATGGATATTGTGAAAATTAAATTTGTCATTTTTCGGAGCTACTTAAACAAGCCTGCCAATTCATACAGTAGGCCGTGAGGATCATATTTTTGAAATATTACAGTGCGGCATGCTGCACAGACCCTCTATTTCAATAAACAATTCCTGCGCCTCATCAATTCCCCTCGTACGTACGGTGACGCAAGCTTGCCTATCGGCAACGTGACGAACCAGTGAACTAGCTTGTCGAGTGGTCTTTTGCCCTACGAAACGGCGTCTTGGCCGTGCAGTTTGCATTTCCGTTTTCCTCTGCTACCCCGTGCCGTTTTGTATAGATGCGAGACCACCAAGAGAAGCGGTATTGGCACAGTGAAAGCCTGCCACATAAAGAGGCGCCTCGCTACTTTACCGCCTGGAGAATGGTGCTCATTGAACTGCGGTTCCTCCCAGCGTCGCTATGTAACGTGCTCATTTTGAAGAAGCCCTGCATGTTGTTGGTAGCGCGCAGCTGACATATCGCTGATGCCGTGTCACATTGCTGAAGCGGGCAGAGTCGCAAGCGTGGGCTATGGCTGAGAAGGGTGGCGAGGTCGTGCACAAATTAGAAACCAGCTGGAACGAATGTTCTAACCCCTGTAACTTCGTAATAAGAGCACCTATTTGCAAAATTCTTAAGACAGCATGTTCACATGGCAAAGTTCTCTTCATAACAATTTTTATATCTCGGGGTTTTTCACTGGCTTTTTATGAAGCCACTTTGTGTGAGTGATTGTGATCCTTGTGCAGAAACTGAACCGCAAGATGCACCTGTCCAAGATGAAGCACAGCAAATTCAACGAGTCAGGCCAGCTGCTCATCTTCTGCCTCGCCTCTTTTCTCTGGGGAGCAGAGATCATCCGCAAGGCATGTACTTTCTCCTCACGAGAGTTGTACCCTCAGACTTCGATATAACAAAGTAAATTAAGTCTTGCAATAGATATACGGTTAGGAATAGACTTTTATAACGAATTTTCAGATATACCGAACTTATACTTTCATGAAAGATGCAGCTTTGTTTAATGAAGTTTGAGTATTTCCATAAGGCTACAGATTTGCATAACATTTTTTTCTTCCTTTTGTTCTTGTTCAAACGTGCCCTAAATACATAAATGCTTGTTGTATAGTAATTACACATGCCTGTTTCAACTGTGTATTGAAGCAGTGTTTCGTGGCATCGGTGTTAGTAGATCCAACAACCATCTTTAGTAGTAGTATTGCTGAATATAACCAACAAAACATAGAGAAAAACTTAGCATAAGTGCCAATTCTACATTAATTTTTGTGTGTGTGCAGTTGTAAATGAGCATAACCCATTTTGTGCCCTGGATTGTTCATACATTCACCGTACAGGTACAGTAGTGTGGTGTTGTGTGCCAAGTGGATTGTTTAAAAAGTGGATTGTTTAAATAAGTGGACTGCTTTTCTGAATAACTAGCTTCCCTCGAGTTGTTGATTGCATTTCATTTTTGTTCCTTAAATACCCGACTGAAGGGGGTATTACTTGTGGGGTGGGTACTTGCACGAAAAATCAAAGCCATGTTTTAATACAGTGCAAAGTAATCTATTAAGGTGGTCAAAAATATGGAAGAACCGGTTACAGCTGTGACGTTCTAAAGGCGTTCCAGTCTGTTGCTGCTTAAAGAAATAATAAAGATGAAAAGGTTGCTTTGTGAGCATGTGGGTGCACAACTTGTTGCGGGTAACCGTCTGGAGGGTCATGTCAGTTGGGGGGGGGGGGGGGGGGGTATGGTGGCTCATCAAGGGAGCTGTAAAAATGCTTGTGAAAAAGACAAATGCTAGCGATGTGGCAACAAGATGCCAATAATGAAAAACGGGATTTTGTTTTCTAGGCTGTTATCCTGACGTCATATGAGTACTTGGAGTGAATAAATGTAGCTCAATTTTGAATTAATGTATTTACTCACATAATAGCCACACCTTTTTTTTTTCATAAAATCTGGCGAACAATTCGGGGTGTGCCTAAGGCACGGGTTAAACTCCGAAAATTTTGTTTCCGACTACAGCATTGCAAAACATGTTGAGTATGCAGTCTCACCTGTCAGAGAATTGGGGCATGCGATGTAGTGTGCTTACAAGCATTCAAATTTCCAAAAATTACCATCGCAAGATCCACATCGCCGACCAATGAACGCGAAAAAAAAAAAGCGATGAAAAGAAAGTGCCTTCGTGGAAATCGGCTGATATCGTTTCAGGCCACTTTTATTACACGCATTATCACGATCGAAATTTCGTGCGCTGGACGGTAGCAAATGTTCATTTCACAGCCTGCACCCATTATCCTAAGATATTGAAATGAAATTTTGAACCACCATTGGAATGTTAGTCTTATGCCTCAAGTAGAGCCACCGCAAAGAGTTACATTGATTCCGTACCAAAGCGCAACTTTAAACAACAAATGCTGAATAAGCTTAGTTTACGGCATGAAGGTCGGGTGTCAAAAAGATTGTACTGATCCATGAGCAGTGTGCGTCATGCGATGTTTAGGCCGAAAAATCAGCAGCGACAAAAGTCCCCCAAGCTTGAGCAAGCCCGCGTTGTGGCAGCAAAGGCGCGAGCTTGTGTCGGAAAGCCGAAAAGCTTTTGAATTCGTGATCACACCTTCCAAGGGAAGCGTGCGCCGCTAGAGCCACGCCGGTGCCGGTGCAAATGTTACTGACACCGAAGCAACCGCCTGTCTTCCTCACTCAGCGAACCTGCACAGCGCTGCCACGGTCTTGATTTATTTTAAATTTTTTTCCTCGCTCCAGTTAAGTAAAAAGGCGTCAAACTGCATTCATGCATTTAAATACCATACAGAACGACTTATCTTGACCAAGCTCGGGGTTCGCCATTTATGCGCAGAAATAAAAGAAAAACTGGTTTCTCACGACCAAACTGGGGGTGTGCCTTTTATGAGGGTAAATACTGTAATTCGAGTTGATTGATGAGATTAAGTAATGAGGGCTCCAAGTGAGTGATGCAATGTCTAATTTCTACCTGATGAGAGACTGATAGGGAATTACGTAGTTTTACATTTTGAAGGGCATGGCACAGAAAGCATGTTAAGAACCCAAGTGTTTTACTGGCAAATGAAATGACGTTCGTAATGAGTGTAGCTGAGGTTAAATCACTGGAGGGGGTTACTCTAAAATATTTTTAGGAAAAAACTAGTTCAAGGTTACCACTAGCAATTTTAAAGTGGATTTTTACGGTGGTGGAAAGCGGCAGTCATTTATTTTCAGGGTTTAGTTTTATTAGTTGTGTAGGTTACATCACTTTTCTCACTTCACAAGTATTATCAGGAACGCTGCTGCGAAACATGTTCATGTTTATTCCTGCATTGGTAGAATTATTAGTGTAAATTATAAAAGGCAGGGGACAAAGTATGAATCCCTAATGTTGTAGAGTTAAGGAGATTTTGTTAATTAGTCTTTTCAGTGGAATTTCTGCTGGGACATAGACGTCATCTGTGAAGACAAGTGGCTTGTTGTCAGAGCCTCTTTATAAAAAATCGATAGTTGCTAAAAAGACACGCTCCACAACAATTCCACACGTCGAGAGATTTTGGTCCGTTTATGTTTCTTGTACATTGTGTGCATGAACAATGAGCGGTCTAAGTTTGTTCTAGTGCCTGGCTTCCTTGCATAAGAATAAAGATTGTAATGAAGAGCTGGCATCGAATGTGAGTGAATCATGCGTTTTGCATTCTGGCAACAAACATTTTATTCTTTCTTGCAGGAAGGATACCTACCCAGCATCAACAAGTTATGGGAGGGCTACCCGCATAATGAGATGTCGTAAGTGTCCACCACTTCTGATAGCAATGTCAACTGTAGGTCAGTCATGTTGTGGGCAGCTGAGCCTCAGTGGAGCCACTCGACTTTTGTTGTTTAGTTATACTGTTATTCTTTTGGAGACATTCTGAACTGGTTGTATATTGTGTGGTACTAAATGAGCAACAGCAGATACCAGTTCTCAGAAAGCACAAAGAAATATCAGCCTTTGTATCCTGTACACGAAGGGGCATACAAGTGTCAGGCACGTGCTGAAGATGCTCCATGCACCACTTTGGCTTACAGTGAAGTTCCGCTACAACAAAATTGATGGGACAGGCGAAAAAATTTATCACAGAATTTTGTTGTAGCGAAATTTGATCTATAGTACACATAATTCAGTAAGACCTGATTACGACTTGTTTTTGGTCACAGTAAATGCATGCATTAAACTCTTGCTAACTCGGAGGTACCTGATCACACAGCGAGGGAGCATATATTCTCACTATTAACATGCACAAATTTAGAGAAAGTTTGGAGCTAAACTCTGAATGCGGGCTGTAGTTACATTAATTTCAGTGTGAAAGTTGGCTTGAATGCACGTCTGAACAGTAATGCAAGGAAGGCCGCCTAATGACAATACGTGGGTATCTTTTTTTTTTTTTCTGGCGTGGTTTGCAGTCGGAAGTTCCAGTTAAATGCAGGAGTATTTTATACACAAGAAAATAAGATAGATGATCCTTTGAACGTGCCGAGCATGCAGTCCCACAAATGAGTCTGCCGAAACTCCCGCTACCATAGCCATAAGCTAACGAAGGAAAGTCGTAACACTAATGCTAAGCTAACGAAGGAAAGTCGTAACACTAATGCTGTTTTATGGCTTTATTGCCTATAAACTTCGGCTGTGTTAGCTGCACACGTTCAGAGGGTGTTCGCTATCGATGATAGCTAGCGGCCAAGGTTTCCTGTGAAGCGGTTGCGGCAAACTCAGGTCTGTTTTCAGTGTGTGCGAGCTGCCCGTGCACGTGCCTTCAGAACTGCGTTGCAATGTCTAGGATGGGTCATTGTCATGTTTTTTTCTGCAGTGTTGCGACAAGCAGCATTGGTATGAGTCTTTGTGCTTTCAATGCACACGTACTTTCGGGGTTGCCCATGATTAGTACTTCTCAAAGCTTCTAGTTCGTTGCTGGCAGGAGCATCACGATTTGCAGCCACTTCGTTTTCTTTTTCACTCTGTATGTTTTTGCGGAAAATTTTCTATCCATAATTCTTGCATCACATTGGTTCTCCACAAGAAAACGTGCTCAGTATATGCGAGTACATATGGTAACTCTACTTCTGAAATTTAGAAACAGTGGCCCTTATATTTCTTAACACATTTATTAGAAACCTCACATGTGTGCCTGTAAGCTTGAGTTTAATTGCATGTGAAATGGCTGACACCCACTTTGAACATGACCTGCAGCTCTAGCTTCTGTGCTCTTCTGCATGTAGGTTCATGTTCAAGTTCTACTTCATCATCCAGCTGGCTTACTGGCTGCACTGCTACCCCGAGCTGTACTTCCAGAAGACCAAGAAGGTGAACATCCGTGGCCCTGTAGAAATGAGCACTCCTAGAATGGAGATTCCGCCACTTTTGTGCAGTAAAATCGGGGATAAGGTGTGCGTGTATGTGAGCATGGTGTTATGTGTATGGCCCTCCTAGGTGCCCTGCCTTGGTCTCTAATTAAGGCAAATACGAAAGTGCAAATAGTGAAATTGAAGCGAATGCAAACATTAAAGTGTGAGTGTAATGGAAACGAATATTTTCTAAATTGTTCGAATTGTGCAACTGCTGGAGAGAAAAGTTGGAGCCGATTATTAAGCAGGTTCTTACGCGATATATCAACCATAAACTGTTTATTTTCGCTATATTGAAGCACTGGTAGGGTGGCACTTGAGTAAAAGTTTTAGTGCGAATTGAAATAAATAGCAAACACTATTAGAAACATATTAGATTGGGAATTTTTACGCTTGTGCGGCTAGGGAATTTTAGGTTCAAAACGAATAGTGATTTTGTCCAAATAATTTCAACTCGAATTCAAATGGTATTTATTATATATAATGAAAATAGGCATGTTTATCATGGCCTAACTAACCTGCACAATGTTTTTAAAAAAATTGAAATGTGGCCTCTATGCAACCGTCATTTTTTTTTTTTTTTTTTCAAAGGAAGTCGAAAGAACTTGACTTTCAGCAGGATGCGAGTCATAACCCTTTATAACATTTTAAAATTTATTTTACTTGGAGCATATAAGCCGACATAACTAGCTCTTGAGCTTAATAAAATGAATTGATTTGAGAATAGTATATTTATTTAAAGGTGCTGTGCGACACTTTTTAAGTAGCCATGGAATGGATTCACTGAAGAAGCTATGTATTGCCTCATGTATTCACCGCCACACATAATATTAGAATCCGTCCAGTACGCACGGAGTTGCAAATATTTATCGCATGCTGCCTAGTGCATTCTCTCTTCTCGTCCTGACGAAAGCGCTGGAAGATAAGCAGAGAGGGATGGCCCGAGGAAAGAAAAATCACGTGTGCTTGGAGTCATTTACCGAGAGAAGAAAGCAATTTTTAGCTGACTTTGAGAATTTATTGCGAATTTTACGCCGGCATGCTGTGCTATAATATTTAGCTTGCGTGTCCTCAGTACCTTCGACTACGGATTGGCACCGTTTTCTGACAATGCTCAAAAAGGGTTGCAGGGTCCCTTTAAATTTGAAGGGGGACTACGCGGCAGAGTGGATTTCTTCTGGATATGTGCTTTCACAGTTAAGCACCCTCTTACTGCAGTGAAATCACCTTTACAGGTGGTACATTCGGAATAGTATACGTCTATTCGTTCCTTGCAGATACTTTGAAATTTTCAATAATTTAAATTTGAAGCAAATTTGAATACACTAGTATTTGTTCGAATATTTGCACAGGCCTAATAATTTTAGATATTCGTGCAATCCTATTACTATTAGTGTAAGTACTTAATGTAAATATGAAAAGTGCGAATTCCTTTCCCTGTATTTTGTACTAAAAGCGATCATCATTTTGTTTTATGTGTTTCAATAAAAGTACCATTATTACGATTTATGGTAATCTCGGGTGGGCTTGCTTAGGATTGGACTAAGAGAGAGGAAGATGAGCGTGGCAAAACAAATACACTTTATACACTCTAGGTAATAACGAAACACACATTCAAAGTTTATGTCGTGCGTGCATGCACAAAGCTCGGCTCTATGCCGATACCCAAGAAGTTAAGTTATGGTCATGTTTCACCCCAGCTAGCATTTTGCCAATGTGGCGTTTCAGTGATGAAACATTCTCACAGTTTAAGTCCCCTCTGTTTTCTTGCCATCTTGATGGTGCGGCGAGATTGTTGTTGTCGTCATAGGTTCTTTCGGCCTAACAAGCCACTTGTCCTTAGGGCTGGTGTCCCGATCTTCTTCTTGATCTTCGGCCTAGCTAGGTCAGGCATAGCTCGTCAGTTGTTGATGGGTGCACTTTGCTGACTGGTGCGGGCTTCGCGTCTTGGGACGAATTGGGAGAGCTGTAGGCTCACCAAGAACTGCTGTGAAAGGGTGCAAATCTGGGCAGCCTCACTCGGGTCTTCCAAGATCAACGGCCACTCCCAGGGCCCCTTCCGCCAACAGCCTTCAGAACTGGGCGGCTATACCTGTTTCCATCTCTGTTGCGATGCTGGTTTCCCTGTTGTTCGCAGTTTGAAACCCCGCAGCACAGTGACAGCTCACCCTTCAGATTCTCCATCATGGCTCGGGTTGCATGCCACGAGGCTTTCTGCGTCTAATCTCGTACGTGAGCATGGCGCATATGTGCGCCATCGAGGCCTCGCTCTCTCTTACTCAGGACAATCGTCGTCATCTTTTTTTTTTTTTATTCTAAGTATTCTGTCAAATTTATTTTTTTTTATTTCTAATTTGTACCTCAATCCACATGTGTACCATCAGGGTGAGCATTCCGGGACGTAGGTTTCTTGCCAGCTGCCTTGTACAGTAATTCCTCGTTAACTCATACTGATCAAAGGCGATCTCGTCGTCTTCAGTATCGCTCGCGTAGTCACTTGCTTTGTGCACTTCGTTTCACAGTTTGACGCCAATGGTTGTCAGAAAAACTGGTCAGTCGCTACTTTGAACGTTACAAAGTATTGCAACTCTTTAGTGGCATGAACTACGAGTTTGTCCCTAATGGGGCCTACTCACCCCTGCCTTGAAAGCACCCCTCGGCGATTGTACACGTTGTGTACTTCACATGATATGAAATTGCGTCTGAACTGTATTGCTTTGTTTTGTGTATGTGCACACTTTCCGTTGGTTTGCCCTTCCCCATCTTTGCCTATTCACTTTCAGAGCATTGGAATTATTTCAGTCTAAGAGATGGCATAATGCAACTTGCTCACCAGTTAGGGGAAGTGCAAGCCACCAACACTCTGGAATGGGAGATGATCTTCTGGGACAGCGCGCTTTTTGGCTAGTTGTTTAGGCAGCTATTTTACCAGTCTTGTGCGCATCTCTCTGCAGGCCCAGCCTGTCTTAGTTCAAGATGTTTTGTAGAACCTGATAAGATCATTTTAATAGTCTCTTTCAAGGCTTAGCACTTTTCCACTGTAGTGAAACAACCTTTACAGGATTTACATGCAGACCTGTATAGTAATTTTATTTATTCATTTTGAATACATCAAAGTTTTTAATACTTTAAATTTGTATTGAAGCTAATTTTAATACTATGTTGTTTGCTTGAATATTCGAAGCATTTGTATATTTGCATGAGCCTACTAAACAGTGTTGCTGTGAAAGGCTGTTTCTAATGCAATCCCACGCCTTGTGTTCATGTAACTTGATCATTGGACGTTCATGTTTATCAAATTGTAAACAATTTCAAGCCCCAATATTAGTGGTATATTTTACTTCTTTGTGACACGTGGATCTGTTGCCAGGAAGGAAAGATAAAAGGCTCTGTAGGTAAAGGCTGCGCTGCAAAGTTAAGGGGAAATGCGGGCCAAGAAACGCGAGTTTTTTTTTTTTTTTTTTTCAAAATTACTGATTTTAAATTTTTGCCTGTTTTGATAAGATTACTACCTCTAACTGTTATGAAAAAAAAAATACAGGTCGAGACTTAACTGGAAATGCTTCAAAATTGTCTCTAAGGAGCAGAAAGTGCCTGTTAAAAGGTCCAAAGTGTGCAGTCTTCGAACACCTTGCCGCCGATAATGTGCCGCCACTCGCCATTGTTGATCGCATTAGCCGAAGAGTCGAGCCTCACTCTTCAAGCAACAACAGTTTCTCTCACTGATGCGGCGCAATAAATAATAAAAAGAAGCACGCTTCTGCGCATTTTCTGAGTGTTGCGACTGGCTTATCACGTAGTACGGATTGGGGACCGCCATTGCCGCTGCGCGCTTGTATGTGCTGTGAAACCTATTTGCGTTGGTCCATGTCTTGTCGAGCAGCGCAGCTGAACATTGCTTTTCTCATGTAATTATCTCCGTTATAAAGGAAAAAAGCATTGCTCGCAAGTAAAAGCTGTTGTGCGGCTTTCACTTGCAACCAATATATCAAAATCAAACCATCTTGCAAGCAATGCCAAACTTGCGATCAATACATCAAAATCAATGCATCAAAAGTCATTCACACCCGTCAGCCGGAAAGTTCGTGATGCGGCAATGGATCACGTCACCACCAATCTTGTGAGGTTGAAAGAGCTCGCAGTGAGAGAACTTAGTAGGGACGACATTGCCATTATGTACGACGGTGTGTGGCACAAACATGGCCGCAAAATGACATGTCACTGGACTTAGTTTGGATTTCGCAGTCCTGTCGAACTTCTTCTTAGCTTGCAGTTGGCACAAGGTTCTGCCAGATGGAGCGGAAGTTTGGCAAGCTTTTCATGGCCCTGTCTCCGAGCGAAATGTCTGTGAGGAGTCGGCTCGAAAAAGCCGAGAGGGACAACCTCATGGGGCTGGCGTATTTTAGTCCCAATGGCCACTACAAGAAGGGTTGTTCTTTTTGGTGTGCAAATTTCATCAGATTTAATGATATCTTTCATAAATAAAAACTCAATTTTAACTTTAAAACTCGTTTTTCTCAAAGCACAAATTCTGCCATTTTTTTCAATGTGCCCCTCCTTTTTCGGGCACTTGTAGTGCTTGTATCTGCATGAAATTTTGCCCAAATTTTTTCCAAGGTATGACGAATGCAATTATTTAGTTTAAGTTTCAATATTTTATTGTATAATAAAAAAATTTTTTGTAAACCCTTACTAGGGTAGGTAAAATATGAGCTTTTTACGTCTATTATTTTTCGCGCCTGTTACATATTTTGTTCGTGCTTCCTAATCATTTATTTGCATTCTATACTTTATTTCAAAGATTATGAACCATGAGTGGTAAAAAGTTACGGTAGTTCAGGAATGAAAAAAGGGGGGGCAAAAGGGTTAAGGTTTTCACTTTGTCATTTCGCAGAGCTAAAAGTAAGCAACTTGCAAGAAAACTAGTTTTATATTTGAAAATTAGCATAAAAAGTTTCATAAACATCTCAAGTTTCATTGCTCTAGGGTGAATAATATAAAGAAAGTGTCTTCGAGTAGCATCTCCCTTAGGGACGAAAAAAAACTGGACTAACACAGACAAAGCACAGCTTTTTTTTCTTTGTCTTTTTAACTTTTCAGTACAGCCTTTACCTACAGTATGTTGCCCCCACACAAGCGTTTCTGAATGAAAGGCTCGCCCATGATGCCTTTTCTTGTGTGCAGGACGAGATGTATGCACGCATCACCACAGCCACACTGCCTCTCATCTTCTTTCTCGTGTCATACATTCTCAAGTGAGTTCTTTGTCTTTTATTTTTTGCTAAACAATGTCCGACCATTCAGTGCAATGCAGAACGTAAATACTGAAATATCATTTTGGGCTGGCAACATGACCCTTAAGTCTAACGCTCCTAATTATTAACATGGTCAATGAGTAGAGACTGTCCAGGACCTACCATTTGCACATGTGTGGTTGATGACAGTGCATGTTTGTGTTCTGTGCAGCTTCTCAAGAATAGCGCTGTGCCTGTCGGTGATGCACTATCTGGTGGAGACGGTGTTCCATGCCTCTCGGCTGCTGCTCTTTGCAGAGCGCACTAAGGCCTCAGACTACGGGTGAGTGCTGGATCACGAAGGTGTACAACTGGTGGCTAGAGGAGGAACACAGCAGAGGATGCATCGTGCCCGGGATGAGATTACGTGCAAACATACAAACTGAAAAAGGTCTTAGTGATTTATATCTCAGCAAGATGGACATACATTTGTGAAGCATTCTACACTCAAATCACGATAATTGCAACTCCAAGGGGCCTGAAAATTTGTTCGAATTAAAAGAAGCTCAAATTAATGAAGGCTAAATAAACTGAGGGCTCTCCATGCAGTGGCACATGTGCATTGAGCTAACACACAAAGGGGAAGTTTCAGAAGACTTCCATTTATTCACAAATCACTCGGTTAATAATTGAAGTAATCGGTCATGCGTGTCTACACACGTTTGCCTTGCAGCGAGTCAATCAATTTCGCACACAGCTGCAAAGCATTTCTACTTCAGCTTGAGCATTCTTCGGGCAAGATGAGTTGCACGCGGAAATGTCCAGCGCCGACACTCTCTAAAGACGATGATGACGACTGCATATCAGCCCCAGCATGGCCAGCATATGACGAAGAAGGAGGAGCATCTCCAGGCAGAGAGAAACAGATTGGCATTTGAGAAAAAAACCAACACTTCACGGCAGGTTTTTTTTTTGGCAGCCCACAAGAGCTGCCAAAGATAGTGTCTTTTTCCTTTCTTTCAACCACACATTCATTCAACCCAGCGACAGCTTTTTTTTTTTTTTTTTTTTTTTTTTTTTTTCGCATGCTGCGTTGGAGGGAGAAGGGTCTTAAGGGTATTTACGGGGCAGGGACGGAAAAGGAGAAGCGTGACACGGGCGTGCCGCAGATCGGCATTTGAGAGAGAGCAAACATTCCACCGCAGCCAATTTTTTTTTTTCTCTTTTTCATTTCCTTCGCGCGTGGCGTTGAGGTGCCGCCGCGGGATTCGGCGGGGTGCTGAGAGCATTTTCGGAGCGCGGTATGTTCGAATTAACTGTCAGAAGTGCTTGCGCATTCGAATTACCAGGCGTTTTCGCCCATCGGGATACACATAGCTTTGACGCGACCTCATTGTGAGTTCGAATTAAGCGTGTTCAAATTAATGAGATTCGACTGCATTACAGTAGACTCTCGTTGAACAGAAATTGTAGGGACCAGGAAAATATGTTCCATTTAGCAGGACTGTTGTTTACTGAGAGATGAACAGAGGTGCAGAATACTAGTATAAACCAAGTATATCGGAGACCTTTGTTCCATTTATGCGGCAATTTTGTTCAGCGGATCTCTTTTTACTGAGAGTCTACAGTATTAAGGTTTCTCGTTATTGTTACAAGCTGCCACTCTAGCGTCGCCAGCGCAAAGTCGACGACGGGAATGACAGCAGGTTGGTTCGTTTTGTACGCAAGCAGAGACAGTGAAGAGATCAGAGACGTGAGAAAACAAAACAAACTTTACTCTAGTGATATTGCAGCACACGGGATCGAATACAACACTTCAATACAACTAACAAAATACATCAACACTTGATACAACTAAAAAATGCATATAAAAACAATAAATCAGCTTTGGCGAGAGAACTATTACAAACTAATAACAATAGACTACGGGGGAGAAAGTTCAAAGATATAAACAGGTGAAGGCATACGTGTGATGACCAGCAGCGTTGTGTCCCCGACGATCGGATGCGAGAAGTCGAAGAGAGTTCTGGCACGACTGCGATGTCGGCGGTGTTGCAGCGCTGGTGGCTCCGGGAGGCTAGTGCTTACAGGTGACTTCGAGCAGGTTGAGCTAACTCGAGGCGAAGTCCCGATGTCTACGTTGCAGACGTTAATATCGCGTCACAACTTGACGAACGGCTAAGTTTAGGTGGCCAGCCGATACAGAGCCACATTAAAAACTTCTAGAAGAGATGCTTGTTGATCTGTTTCTACACCATGTTGGTCAGCGACTAGTCTGCCTAGCAGGGCAAAATCCTGCGCTTAAATCCCCCTCGTGTCTCCTCTCTCTCTTCCTTGGGGACAAGAGACCTCTACATGGGTCCAATCATGCGCGTTTAATTAATGGAAACTCTGCCCCAAAAATATTTTGACCCCACCCCTTTTTAATTGGGAGAGGGCCCCCAACTAGCGAGAGTGACAACCTGTTGGGTTGTTGTCATACGGCTTGGCCACCAGAGGGTTTCCCACGCTTTTCCTCGTGGGAAACGGTCAGACTGTTTGGCTCTCAGCCGGTGCGTCCCGTAGCCTAATCCTTGTTCGGGGTACATCGCGGCCTTCCACGACCTTGCAGACGCCGCCACAGTTACAAAAGGATCAATCGTCGACGGCGACGTTCCAAGAAGAGCACCCCATTCTGCACTTCTCGGCTCCCTTTCATGCGCCCGCTGTTCCCACCGTCAGTGGGGAAGTACGGCGCCCGTTAATTGCCGTGACACGGGGCCGCCAAAAATGGCCGTCTTTGACATTGCCCCCCACTTTCAGAATGTTATTCATAACATTGGCTCACACGGAGGGGAATTTTTATGCAACAAGGAACAAAGCACCACCAACAAAGGAGACATGAGGACTGTCCCTCTCATACACAACATAAATAGGCAGAGTGCATCAAAGTAACAACAAAAGGAAAAAAAAACAATTGTTAGAGTACCAGCTTCAGTTACACGCAACATTATCAATGCGCCATGCAAACAAGAAAAAGAAATAGCCGTGTACGGCAGCCATCAATACAGAATACAATGCACGAATGTATACCACGAACAAAACGGAACAGATGCGCTCCTCTACTGTGGTGAAATCCTTCAATGTGCATTACAAAATGTAAAAACAACCAATGCACCAAGCCAAAAGAAATTAACTCAAAATACACTTCTTGTACAATGAAATATGCACATACAAACAGAAAACAAACGACGAAAGGGGAAAAAAAATAACATGCTCATAGACCTCAAGAACTATATCCGGCTCAAGTAATCGGCTCCCACGTTTTCGCTACCCTTAATATGCGTAATGGTGAACTGGTACTCTTGGAGTAGTAAACTCCATTGAAGTACTCGAGCGTTCAGCTGTTTTGCCTGTTGGATATAACTCAGAGGCTGGTGGTCTGTCTGGACACAAAAATGTACTCCATATAAGTACATGCAGAATTTCTGAATTCCCCATACCAACGCAAGACATTCGCGTTCGATGGTACTATAGGAAGCCTCCCGTGGAAGCAGCTTTCGGCTGGCATAAGCTGTGGGGTGGAGCTTGCCTTCGTGGGCCTGCATGAGCACGGCTCCGAGACTTGTGTCCGATGAGTCCGTTCGAAGTACGAATGGTTGGTGCAAATTTGATAGCCGTAGTATCGGCTCCATAGAGACATGTTGTTTGAGACTTCGAAAAGCCTCCTCGTGGGCTGCTGTCCATTTCGCCGAGTTAGCTTCGCCCTTCCGGGTTAAATCTGTAAGGGGAGTGCTGACTTCTGCGTAATTCAGGATAAATTCCCGATAGTACCCGGTCAAACCGAGGAAGGCGCGCACGTGTCGCTTGGTTGAAGGACGTGGTGCAGCTTCGATCTTGTCGAGTGTTTTCCCCAGTGGTCGCAATCTGCCCCTGCCAACTCGGTGTCCCAAGAAGTCGATTTCTTCCACACCAAGTTCGCATTTACTGGGGCGCACTGTAAGCCCGGCCCTCTGTATGCACTCAAAATGCAGTCCCAGAGACCTCAGGTGCTCTTCCCATGTCTCGGTGGCTACCAGTACATCATCGTAGTAGTGGTCCACACCGGGTATACCTTCTGCAACCTTCCGCATCAACTTAGCAAATACAGCAGGCGCTGTCTTGATGCCGAATGGCATGAAGCGGAACTGAATAGTCCCGATGTCGTCGAGAAGGCCGTCTTCGCTTTGGACTCTTCGGTCGGCGGGATCTGCCAATAGCCCTTCACGAAGTCGAGCTTCGAGAAATACTTCTTCTTTCCCACTGTAACAAACACCGCGTCAGTTCTTGTCATAGGTTCGGATTCGGCCACCAGAACGTTGTTCAGGCGTCGAAAATCGATACACAGTCGATTTGTACAGTCTGGTTTCTTTACCAAATTGACTGGCGAATTATAAGGTGACTCTTGATTTCTCAATGATGCCGAGCTTCTCCATCTCCCGCACCTCTTTCTCTACACCTTCCCGCGTTTCAAAGGGAAGAGGGTATTGTTTCACGTGGACAGGGTTACTCGTGGTGAGTTCGAGATTGCAGTGGACCCAGTCAGTTTTGCCCGGGACATCCGAGAAAATACGAGCGTTTTCCCTGACAATTCTTTGCAGCTGTTCGATCTGTTGAGCGTCCAGTTTGTCAGAGAGCTTCACGTCTTCTTCCCCTTCTACTTTAAGCCAGTCGGGGGTTGGAATATTCTCGTCCTCGCTCGATTCCACAACACCAAATGTCACGTTGCACACCTTGGTGGAGGGGCTGTCCCTCTCCTCGTATCTTTTCAGTAAGTTGGCGTGGAAGATTTTTCGGCCGTCAGCCGTGTCTACGACGTAGTCAGCTTCACCTTTCTTTTCCCGGACTTCAAAAGGGCCCTTCCATTGCAGCAGCAGCTTGTTCGTGTCGGTGGGAAGTCAAATCAGTACCTTGTCTCCGGGGTTGAAACTCTGCTCCTTCGTCTTTCGATTGTACAGCTTCGTGTACCGTGCTCCGCCTTTTTCCAACTCCTCGTGTGCCAGGCGGCACGTTTCCTCCAAACGGTTCCGAAGGTTGAAGACATGCTGGTACGTCGTCTTAGCTTCTTCAGTCAGGTCGGCGTTCGTCCACAGCTCCTTCAGTATCGCCAAGGGTCCCCTCACATGGCGGCCGTAGAAAAGCTCGAAGGGTGAAAACCCCGTACTGGCCTGCGGAACCTCCCTATAGGCAAAGAGGAGAGGTGCCAGGTAGCGGTCTCAATCTCTCGGTTTTTCGGCGCACATGCGCTTCAACATTAATTTTAAGGTGCCGTTGAATTTTTCCACCAAGCCATTCGCCATGGGGTGATATGGAGTGGTGTGGAGGTGGCGCACGGAAAGGAGCCGCGCTACTTCCTTCATCAGGTCCGATCTGAAGTTCGTGCCACGGTCGCTCAGTACCTCGCGGGGGACGCCGATTCGGGAGAACATCTCGCCCAGGGCTTCGGCCACTCGCTCAGTTTCGATACTCGGGAAGCGCCATTGCGTCTGGATAACGGGTGGCATAATCCATTAAAGTCAAAATGTATCGGTTCCCATGCTTTGAGGGCGGGTGAATCGGTCCCACTATATCGATCGCCACTCGCTTGAAC